AGCAAACTATTTACAAATGGAGATTTGGAATAAAATCCATTCGTGACTTGGGAATTTAAGCGTTTGTCATAATATAAAATAGAGCCTTATTTTATTAACTTAAACCCCTCCTTTTTACCTTAAATGCTATGTTAAAATAAATTTACATATATTGCACATTTTTATGTTCTACCAAATGTGATGGCTTTTATCAGTGGAAATGTGACTTTTTTTGGGGAAAATAAACAGATTCAAACAACACAGAAACTTGCATTAAAATTAAATTTTAAATAACCAGTTTTCTTTCAAAAATCCAGAAATTCAGATAAGGGAGAAATTGGACACAGCCAAAATCGTTTCAAAATATAAGCTACTTATATAAACAGATTAAAACACTTTCAATTTCTCAAACTGTTGGTTTTCTTTTTCAGTTTTATTTTAAGGAAATACTCAATATTTGGATTTCTTATCCATACTTGCTTTACATTGAGAATAATTTTATGTAAATGAATAAATACATGGGTCCATAAATGATTTTTTATACAGAGAGAAAATTTTAAATGACATAACATACTAAATATTGAACAAGAGAAAATAAAAATTCAATTGAAATGCATCTCTTGTTAATTGATTAATTAATTTATTTTTATATTTTTATTTATTTATTTGAGAGAGAGACAGCCAGAGAGTGAGCACAAGCAGGGGGAACAGCAGAGGGAGAGGGAGAAGCAGGCTCCCTGGGACTCCATCCCAGGACCCTGGGATCATCACCTGAGCTGAAGGCAGACACTTAACTGACTGAGCCACCTGGACCCCCCTCTTGTTAGTTTAATATGGATACAGCATATTTCCAGAAGTACTTTTTGAAAATTCTTTGGGTAAATTTTGTTATAATTTATGTAATATTTGCATAATTTGGTATGTTTAAATCTTACCATAGAGGTGTTACTCATGAAGAAAATTTCTTTAAGAAAGGAATAGTTATTGCACTATAATTTATTTATGGCAACAAAGCACAAGATCTTAGCTACTAATCTGCAAATAATTGTGTGTGCATGTGTGTATGTGTGTATATATGGATTCAGAGCACTGTTATAAATTATATGTAAAAGGGCAGAGAGCAAACTACATTAAACGACCTAAAACACTTTCTTTTCAGTAGAGGTTAGAGAGACATGCATCTAAGCATGCTGAGCGTGCAAGCTGCATGGTGTTCCCACCTCACTGCACAAGTGACTTCCCAGTGTTGTCCTTCCTCCTTGATGTACCACAAAAATCTTTCCCGAAATTTACTCTCCTTAAACTGCTTTTCCAAGATACAGCTGGTTAAAGTCCTTTTCATAGGTCTGCAACAATTCTAGTTTGGGGTCTGCTGTTTTATAAATGGAATGACTTTCATGTTTCTCATGATAATTTAGATCAGCCCATCCATTTCATTCCTGACACATGGCTTCGCAATGACTTCTTACCTACACACGAGTCAGAGGCCAGCACCACTGATCTTAACTGCAATGTACACAACTTCCAAACACCTCTTCTCTTGTCTCATAACATGTGTTCACACCACTCTTCATTTTAGACATTATAACCTTGATTGTTTACTTCATACTTTTTTTTAGTGATCAAGCCAATGTCTATATCCTCTTTTTGTGTTAGCCATCATAAGGAATGAGTTCCAGTAAGGCAGGAAACAATATATACTGGAAATTTTTTAGAACAATTCTCACATGTCAAAAAATTTTCAAAATCATCGTGCTACTCTAGTATGTACGCTAATTGTTCTTGGCTTTTATATTCTCTCACATTACCATAAGAATTTTCAGTCCCCTAAATTAGTACAGTGCACACATTTTTTATTTTTAAAGTAGGCTCCACACCCAATGTGGGACTTGAACTCACAACCCTGAGATCAAGAGTCACATACATGTTCTAACCACTGAGCCAGCCAGGGACCTCTACATACATTTTAAGTATACAGTTTAACGGGTTTTTACCTGTGTGTATTCTTATGATAATACTGAACCATTCCTTGCCCAGAAGGTTCCTTCATGCCTCTTCCTCAGTCAATATGGTTATGCCATTTTGACTGTTAAGTCTGTCTTCAACATGTTCTGTGAAAAACTTTTTTTTTTTATTTTTTAAAGATTTTATTTATTTTTTTGACAGAGAGACACAGCGAGAGCGGGAACACAAGCAGGGGGAGTGGGAGAGGGAGTGGGAGAAGCAGGCTTCCCGCTGAGCAGGGAGCCCGATGCGGGGCTCGATCCCAGGACCCTGGGATCATGACCTGAGCCGAAGGCAGACGCTTAACGACTGAGCCACCCAGGCGCCCCAGTGAAAAACTTTTTTATTTTCATACCAAAAAATTTATTCCAAAGCTGACTAATACTTGAATGGTGTTAGTGCAAAATGTAGTCAGGCAATACATTGATTTTAAACTAAAAAGTGTGGTTTTTCGTAAATGGAAAAATGCTAAATGTTCAGAGAAGGAATTAAATTTAAAAAAACCTACTTTTTTCCAAGTAATCTCTATCACAGAAATTCAGTTTTGTTTTTATACATATTTCTTTCATAACTATATAACACAAATTACACCCTTATCCAGCTTTGATTTCCATGGTGTCAGTTACCCATGGTCAACTGTGGTCCAGAAACATGATCCACTTTCTGACTTATTGTCAGAAGGTCAGTAGTAGCCTACTATCGTTCACCTCACTTCATCTCATCAAAGAGGCTTTATCAAAGCCACATCATCACAAGAATAAGAAGAGTGAGTACAGTAAGATATTTTGAGAAAAAGAGAGAGGGGTCACAGTCACATAACTTTTGTTACAGTATATTGTTATAACTATTCTACTTTATAATGATATTGTTGATAATCTCTTACTGTGTTTATTTTATAAATTAAATTTTATCATAAGTAAGGAAAACGATAAGGAAAAACGATAGTGTATATATAGGGTTTGGTACTATCTGTGGTTTCAATTATCCACTGTGGGTCTTGGAATGTATCCTCCACAGACATGGGTGGACTACAGTATGTCCCTCTGAAGTAAGGTACACAATGACTGTAATAATTATGATGATGATAATAATTGGCAATTAACTTTTATGTAATAGTCACAATATACCAGGCATTATTGAAGCATTTCATATACATAAACTATTTTATTCCTCACAATAACAGTAAGAGAAGGGTACTCTAATATTATTATTTTGAAGATGATGGGTAAATGATTTGCCAACACTAAAGTGAGGGGCAAAGTCAGGATTTGAACCCAGATAGTCCAGGGCCAGAGTCCTTTTCTCTCACTCATTAAGCCACACTGTCAGACTGAGGCTCAGAAAAATAGCAGGGATAGATTACTAGACAAAGCAGACACTACCACAAATGAACTCTTTCTTACTACCTCTTGGTTTCTGGCAGATACTGTATGCCACATGGTAAGTTCAATTTCCATAATCTCACCTCCCCTACAGTCTAAATATCATGTGATATTCATCATTATAATTTTATATGTATTGAGATAGGGATAAAATGACATTTAAACAGCTTGTGTAAATGCAAATAATTCAATAACCAAATAAGAAAATTTAAAATTTTAGAATCATTTATAGCTTTCTTTTCTCAACTATAGATATGTAGAATGACCATATCTAAAGAGCTTCTTGGAGGATGATGCAAGACCATTTTGTATATCTGGCTCTATTTTAAATCTGGGAAAACATAGGTGATATATATCTAAATGTCTTCTGCCATTATCTTCTAAAAATTTCAGCTCTAATTTTTTGATCTACAAGCTAAGCTTTTAAAATAAAATAAATGCCTATCCATTATACGTTTATCTGTATATATTTTCTCATCCAGTCATTAAGGATTGCTTAATTTTTAAAATTATGAGGAATCTTAGTATTTGAATTGAAAAAAAAGGTGTATTTTTTTCCTCTTCTGTGAAGCTTTTTTTATTTATTACTTCTCATGAGTCAAGGGAAAAGTCTTTCTTTATTGCCTTTACAAATCATGAGTAAAACACAAATGCTTAATTGAGCAGATTGATGATTAAATGGAGAAAAATGATGAAAGGAAAGATGCCAGCACAAACAGAATATGGCCATTCATTTCTACCCCAAATGAATCAACTACTGCTCATGAATGTGGGTTTAATACTAATTTTGGCACAAACTACCCAGAGCACCAACCCTCTGCGGAGTCCCACGTCTGCACGGGGACAGCTTTTTCCTGTTTCTTTTGCTAGAATACACCAAATAGCTCTCTCTCTCGTTGGCACAAAGAACTCTTAAATGGACTATAAACATAGTGAATGCAGGAGACTTTCTCACACCTGAACTCCAAATACTCATTCAAAGATGAAAATGTTTCCCCCTAAAGAAACTAGGCAACTAAGCTATAATATGCAATGTCAGCAGGATTACCCTGGTCATCAGCCATCACAGATCTAATTTCTTGGCATCAACTGGATTAAAACAATTTTTTTAAGTTAAAAAAAAAAGGTAAAGTAGCTTCAACTGAATTGTACGACTCATGAAGATAAGGAGCAGTCTCCACACCTCTGCTCTTACATATGCACAGACTAGCTCAGTTCCTATTTATGTCTATTGTCTACCACAGAAAGTAACAGAGGTTTTTAAACAAGCAACTTGCTATTTTGAGCTGATAGTGCTGAGCTTTTCCTAATATATTGGTTGATCAGCAACATAAGACCTTTCAGACACTAAATGGCAGAAATAAGCCCTTCTAAGGTTTTCTAAATCCTTCCTATCCTCATAACAGGATTCCTCCAGTCAAGTACTAGAGGATAAAAGTAGCACCCCATTAGGTGCTAAAGACACCCAAGTGAGTCAGAGAACTTGGCTGGCAGTTTAACTGGGCCCTACTACAAATACTCTGTAATAGAAGTGCCACATTTAATTAGCCCTGAAGCAGGGAACAAAGCTCTTTCATTTTAGAAAGCTGGAGAATGGAATCTCAAGGAAAAAAAAAAAAAAGGCAAACCTCTTACCTTTTGTAGCAATTCGTACACACTGGGTTTTAGTTTCCTGATGGAGTGAAACATGAAAGAGAACAGTCAGTGTATAGACAATGTTTCCTATTTCATAATCCCGGCTTATAAATGAGGTTTATGAAGAGCAGAACTGCAATATCAAGGAAACTTTTTTATTTAAAAAATAAAAATAAAAATCTGAAGTAAGAACTTTTAAAAATGTTTCAGTATTTTCTAAAAACTCAGATGTCTGTTTTCATCTTATAATCAAACAGGCTCTCTTGTCTGGGACAAATAGTAAGAGCACTGTATTTGTACTTACCATACTTTTTAAACAATTAGAAAGAAAAATGTGTTTGCAAAGCTAATACAAATCAGATCCAGACACCAACTTCATTCTCACCACACAGCTGTAGACTCAGACCAAAGGTGAACATCCCATACACTCACTTGGATCCCAGCACGACTACTGAGCTAAATGACAGTAGTGAGAGAGATCATCCAAAAGTTGCATCACAGCTGTAGTATGATTCATCTGTTCTTTTTTCTTTTTTAATTTTGCTGTTAGGGGTTAAAGATTTCTCATTGGGACTATTTTCCTACTCTTGCTAGACAGATGGAATTGAGGAAGGATAAGTTGAAATGGGAAAGGACAAAGATCATTTCAGGTTCTTCTTTCTTTCTTTTCTTTCTTCCTTCCTTCCTTCTTTCTCTCTCTCCCTCCCGCCCTCCCTCCCTCCCTTCCTTTCTTCCTTCTTCCTTTCCTTTTCCTTTTTTCCTTCCTTCCTCCCTTCCTTCCTTTTTAATGTTGCGGTGTGGCACTATCTGGTGAAATGCACTTCTAGGCCCACACCACACACCTCCAGGACTTAGTTCCTTCAGTTTGTATCTTTGAACATACCGGAGGTTGGAAAAGATGGTAAAGCCAGTAAACAAAACAAAAGCTATTTGTTTTTAGGATGTATTTGTAACTCCATCTTGAGTAGTTCCACATATTGAAAGCCAAGAGCTTACCATTTCCTCTTAATTATACAAAACAAAGCACTGAGGGGGAATTAGTAGTTAAAAATAAAACTTTGCATTCTATTACTTAATTGTGACTTGAAGCCTTTACAGTCTGCTCCAGGAGATTGTTCCACATTCCCACAAAGGCCCAAAGGGATTCTGATTTCCTAAAAGCAACTGCTGTTAATTTCACCAGGATTTCCAGTCTCTGCTCGTAGGAACCACATCCATTTTGAAACCACTTGCCAAGATAACTGTGAGATATATTGTTGTTACTCTGTACTTTGATTAAACCACATGTAGATATATCAACAATTAGAAGAGAACGTTCATATCAAGGCTTTCAAACAGTGCCAGAGAAAATCCTTTGTAAGTAACAGACATTCATTAACACTCCTCTTATACCACGGACCCAGGAACAAAAGTGAATCTGGAATTGCTCACATCTCTAAAGATGAATACCCAAAGGCAGAACTATGTTTTCTACCGCTATGCTACTTTATACCCAGAATGGAATAATAACTTCCATGGTCTTCTCTTTTTTGAGCAGCCCAGTTGTACCAGTGATGTGCAATGATGGGCATGTGGGAAGCGGGCAGCCAACCTGCCTCAAAGACTCCCACTCACATAGAAATAAACTAGAGAGGAGACAAGAATAATGTTCTCAACCATGGGCAGCCCGTGGCTTTGGAGTAGTACCTCCTAGAAGATGCCGTAGCATTTCCCTTTGCCATATACTGGCAAAGGAATCTAGGTAAGCGAAAGAGAGAGCTTTCATTTGAAAGCAGACAGTTGATACCCTAAGTTCTCATGGCCCCTGCAGAAAAGCCAACTGGATTATGTCTTTCACCTTAACTATTCCAAGGTATAATATGCCTGTTGCAATTGGATATCACCTACTTCACAACATCTCCCAGGAACCCACCTCAGGGATTCAATTACCCAAACCCAGAAATTTCCTATCTAGCTACAAGTGCACAAAAATGCCAGTCTTCTATTGGATTTTAAATTGTGAGTTTTCTATTCTTGAATTTTTTTTTTCCTTATCCCCTTCCGAAAAAAAATATTAAATAAGTTTTAGGAAAGAAAATCTTTCAAAGAGAACAGCATGAGCCATGAAAGGCCAGGTAATTTCCCCCCATATGGAACCACTGGTAGTTTCTATCTTCCTGTTGTGTCTTCCTCTTCAATACTCATTTGGGATCAGCGGCAGTGTTCAAAAACAACTGTGTCCAAAATGGGAAAAGGAGGGGCAAGTGGGGAAACGGAAAACAGACTTCTCTAACGGCACAGCATCCTGCCATCTCCGGGCAGCCTTCTGTTTAGGATCTGTCAGATATACCACAGGCACCCTATTAGTTTGTAATCAGAGGACTGTTACTTGCTATTTACTATTTGGCTTGTACCCTCTGAAGAGTTTATAAGGGTTTATTAGCCCGCTGTGGAACACGTATTCTGTTTATCCTGCAGTAAATTTAATCTTCTGAAGTGTGCCACCACTGAGCAAAGACGACAGAACGATGCCTGTATTTACTGGGGCTGGAGTTCCCAGCAGCAGCACACCCACCTTTTCAAACCATTTTGCTCACAATTGTTCTTGTGGGCTTTCCTGAGGAAGGCTCGAGGAGAGGCAGTTACTATGAAACAGGAATCCCATGCCATGGAACGGGCTTGGAGCCTCAGCCTGACAGTCCGTCCAAAACTGTGCACACTGTTGAGAACAGAAACAACACCCCCTACACACGGGTGTGTTTCTTTCCCCTCCTTTCTTTCTTCTTTTTTTCCCTGACCAATGCTACTGAGTATTTATAAAATTCAACTGCAGTTCTTCCTCAGAGCAGTGAAAAAGCAAATTTTGGAGGAAGCTCACCTTCTCCACACTGCTCATTGCCTGGAAATAGATGTTGTATCCTTTTCGTGGAGCCAAAGGAGGGTTCCAAAAGCCCTGATAGGTCCTATTGTCACCCACTGTGAATGGGGCAGGTTCGGGAAGATTCCCTGGGGGCAGTTCTGCAGCGAAGTAGTATGGTGCACCCCTGCTCAGGGCATTTTGGTATGTAACAGGGACCTGGTAGCATTCCATTGCTCCAGCTTCTCTCTTGGTTCGGTGTGGGTGCAACTCCTCCACAACAATCTGATAGGCACTTTTTGGAAAAAGAAAAAAAAAAAAAGCACACATTTAGAGATTCTACATACTAAGATTTCTCAAAAAAAAAAAAAAAGAGGTATTTAATATTAACATGCAACATTTCAAAGTCTTTAAAGTCAGTCTTAACCCACTGTATGCTTTTTTTCCAGCTATTTTGCAATAGAATAGAATTTCATGCGGATTCTCCTTCCCCCCAACTCAGCGTAGGTACTAAGGAACTGGAAAAAAGTAAGAAAAATCACCGCAGAACTCTACACATTTTTTATTTTTATTTTTTTTTTTTTTAAAGATTTTATTTATTTATTTGACAGAGAGACACAGCGAGAGAGGGAACACAAGCAGGGGGAGTGGAGGAGGGAGAAGCAGGCTTCCTGCCGAGCAGGGAGCCCGATGCGGGGCTCGATCCCAGGACCCTGGGACCATGACCTGAGCCGAAGGCAGACGCTTAACCACTGAGCCACCCAGGCGCCCTACACATTTTTTAATGTTGAGAAATGAGCCACCCCAATAACGAGAGACATGTACTGGATTAAGTTCTTTGTCTGATATTTTTCAATGTTTAAAGTTAACATTTTCCTTTGAGATGATGGTACAAAAGGCCCTGGTCTGAGGCCCAACAGAATAGTGCCTCAGGGTGGGGCTCAAAGCACCAGGGTGGGGCTGTCATCACATTAGAGACAGAATGTGCTGACAGGCTTCCCCACCTCCTGACCTTGCCTCGGCATCAACACCGGCTCGGAGTTATGCAGACAGAAAGCGCGGGTGGCATGCGGCAACGCGGGCACAGATGGACAGAAATCTGTCCTCGCCACTGAAATAGACTGCTTCCTTCTTCTAGCGTTGTTAATAATAAAATGGTACAAATTGTAGAAACAGATGGCATTTGCCCTATTAAAGCTTGAATCTAAACCTTCTAATACCTTTCTTAAAAGTCTTAAAACTTCTCTACAATAGCTATTATTTTACAGAGGAAATCAAAGAAAAAATAACGCAACTTTAAAACGAAAGTCTGCCTAATCATTAACTTTTTTTTTTTTAACCAATTGCTGAAACTGGTATATTAATATTATTCTTCCTTTGTAGTATATTCTTCAGGTAAACTTTTCTTAGGTAATGTACACCTGAGAAAGTTGACATTCTTCATATATTTTATATGTATTTAATGAATTTAAAAATCCCTGAAAATCAAGAAAAAATGCATTGTGGTCGCTTATGTAAATTGAATAGAAATAAGCTGTATGTAGGGCTGTCTCTAGGCAAATACGCTCATTCTATATAGGGACAACAGTCACTGAATGACTCTCCAACAGGAACAGAATCTTTTCTTTAATGAACTTCTATAAAGAGAAAGAGGAGGGAGAGAGACAGAGAGAGGAGAGAGACAGACGGACATACCAAAAGAGAGACAGAGAGAGAAAAAACTGAATTTGCATTTATGATAATTAAAAATAAAATTTTATATTGCTTTAGAATCTGGTTTAGAATTCTAACTTAATATAAACTCTCTTATGCCTACAAACAGAAGACCTCAGAGATTAAAAGAAAGAAGCTTTATATAAAGGTTTTCTTTTCTTCCTAACATTTCAAGTTCCCATATTCCATTCAAATATTGCTGAGAACTTGGTAGTTTGGTATCTATCTCCTTTCCTTTAGATATAGGACAGAAATTGTATTAATGTCAGAAATCTAGATTTGGGCAAGCAACTAAGGCAGAAGCCTGTGTTATCTGAAATCACGTCTAGTCCATCATTCTCTGTACTTCTGCCAAGTTGGGTCCCTAAGCTCCTAGGAATGCTACTGACAGGATACATGCTCTTTGAGGGGTCCATGGAGCAGGCGATTGTCAATTTTAAAATGAAATAGGGGCGCCTGGGTGGCTCAGTCGGTTGGGCCTCTGAGCCCCGCAATCAGGCTCCGTGCTGGGCGGGGAGTCTGCTTGAAAGATTCTCTCCCTCTGCCCCTTCCCCTGCTCGTGCTTGCTCTCTCCCTCTTTTTCTATCTCTCTAAAAATAAATAAATAAATCTTTAAAAAAATAAAATAAAATACAGGAAATACGTAAGCATAGCTCTTGTAGAGAAACAGGAATCACAGCTGACATATGCTGTGTTAAGCAAACATCTTTTTTTCTGTTTATTTTCAGCTTAGAATCCATATTTGTATGTTACACAGCTGCATGTCCTGTGGATACATACTCTTAGGCAGACAAGCGTTCACAGGCACACTCCCCAAGCAAGTCTAACATCATATTCTCGCCCTAGTGGGCAATAATGATAATTACTCATACTTGTTAATTATTTAACCTAATCCTTAAAAAATAAATTCCTCATCCATCAACTCATATCTCTAGAAAAATCCAGAAAACCTAGTAAATAGTCTTAACGAATTCTTTTACATTGACATAAGTTGTATATTACAAATTAAGGAACTTCGTCCAAAATAGCTTGTCTCTACACATCTATCAGGAGCAAAGCAAACTGACGATGCTGGGGAGGATTAAAAGAAGAAAAGGTGCAATCTGGTCTTGGGGAAAGATCTCACTGAATTTGAGATGGAACCCCAAACTAAAAATTGTAAAATTCATTTTTTTAAAGAAATTATCTTCCCTTCATTGATCAATCTGTGTGAGCAGGCTGTTGTCCAACCACACACTTCTACTTTTTTAAAGTCTGTTTTTTTCCCTGCTACTTTCTTATTTATCAATACAAATTAACTAAAGGACAGAAAATAAGGAATGAGAAATCAAATTAGAAGTGATTTGACTGATTACATGAAATAGGTCTGTGCTTTTCCACTCTTGTGGTTGTCTAATTGCCGAATGGTACTTAACTCTAGTTGGATCTACATATTGTTTGAGCTTAGTACTCTAGCAATTTAAAATATCCCAAAGCCGCCTCAATAGTTGTATTCACTCTGCCCATATTTCATATTTCCCCATTCCCTTTAAAGTTTTAAAATATTTCTATAATTAAGTAAAAATCAATATGCTGGCATGATGAATCTTCACTCAATGCTGAAAATACGATTTCCTTATGTTAAAAAACTAAAAATGATTTCACTTCACTATACTTTAATTTGATTAGACATTGGGATGTAGTCATTTTTAGTTTTTTGGGAGGCCAAACAATGACTTCTCATCATACAATTTTCCTTCAGTTACAAGACTGTAAAAAAATACGTAAGGGGAGGGCACCTGGGTGGCTCAGTTGGTTAAGCGACTGCCTTCGGCTCAGGTCATGATCCTGGAGTCCTGGGATCGAGTCCCGCATCGGGCTCCCTGCTCAGCGGGGGGTCTACTTCTCCCTCTGACTCTCTTCCCTCTCGTGCTCTCTGTCTCTCATTCTCTCTCTCAAATAAATAAATAAAATCTTTAAAAAAAAAATACGTAAGGGGATTTTGCCATTAGCTCAAAAAGTGATTATATGATACAGATGGTAGACAGCCTGTTTGGTTTCATGCTTAAGATTGTTGAAACTTGAAACCAAAATTACCTACAACAGCCTACTATGTTTTTTGTTGTTGTTGTTGCTTTTTATTTTTTTTAACCTGTAAGTAAAACCTTTGAGAATCTGGTCTTAATTTTAGGTAGTGCAACTTCTTAGTGATAGCAAATAATGAATTATACAATTGTACACTCTCATTTTGTATCTAAAATGTCTCCTTAAAGCTTGAGGAGAAATTTCCTAGCTCCCGTGTTTTGCTATTTTTCTTATGAACAGACTTCCCAAGATCTCACAGCCACCGTTGCTCATATGACCCTAACGCAAACATTTTCAGGACCTACAGAGTAAATAAAGGCTTAAATATTGTTTTGGTGACCATGATATTCCCTGTGCTTCATCTCTTTACTCCTTAAACACACAAGCCACGTCCCTCAGGACCTCCTTATTTCTGTAAGAGGAAGGATCAGTTTCTGAATCAACAAAGCTCAAAGTCCTGGCATTAACTTTAATAAGTTCTATTTTTAACCATGTTCTACCTCCCTTGTAATATACCATTTCTTTTCATTCCCACTACTTCCACAACCTTACATTCATATTACTCATTTAGTTTTCTTGCTCCCATTTTTTTCTCCATGTACTCCAGGCACCCATCCATCCATCCAAACTTCTATGTATCCATTTACCCATCCACCCATCACTCCATCTATTCAGTCTTTTTTGAGTATTCTCTAAATGCCATGAACTGTTCATGGAGAATGCAAAAGAGAACCATTTTTTCAAACTGTTGGTACTTTCCTAAGCCAGCACTTTGAGTATTAACTACTCTAACTTTTCACTTTGTCAAAACTATGTGGAGCCCTCCCATGTCAAAATCTATACTTTTTACACTAGGGTTAAGATCTTACCACACCTCTTACTTCATCCCTCCACTCTTGCTCTCACTAGCTCCTGCTGTATGTTCTCCATTTCAAGTTTGAATGACCATTGTTACTAAACATACCAAACATCCTGTCAAAGAGTTTCTAGTTTTTCTACTTCTGCTACAAAACCTCTCTGACTAGTTCACTTAGTGTTATTCTGTCTTCTAAAGCCAATGGAGGTAATTCTAAAGGTGGAGGTAGGTAACAGGGATGAAGTTGGGGTAGAAGTTAGAGTCAAGTGGGATGCTTTTTCAATTTAGTCCTCAATCCACCCACAAATTATAATGACACAGATTCGTTGAGGAAAACCATCTGAGGTATCTCTCAGGAATTCCGGGTTTGAAAAAGGCCCTAAACCACTGTCTTATAACATTTATTGTGCTTATCACTGACATGTTACATTATAAATATTACCTGGCATATAGCTAAAGATAAAGACTATCGTATTTTTAACTCTAGTGCCCATTCATTCATTCGTCAAATATCTACTGAGTGTCTATATATGCCATGTACTATTTTAAGTGCTGAGGTCAGGGTAATGAACACAATAGTAAAAGTCTCTGCTCTCATGAAGTTTACATTCTAGTGGGAAATACAAATAAATGAATTTTAAAAAACTACACAATATGTCAAG